CGAGACTTCTGAGCCTGTGGGTGCGGGCCGAGGGCTCCTGCAATTGCAAGTACGGTATTTCCCACACAGACCACCAGGGCGGCCGAGAATACCTTTGTTCGACCTGAAATGACTCATTTAATCATCCAAAACGTTATGGAACACATTAATTACTGAAAAATTTTTGCATAGTATGCCTTTAAATATGACTTCCCTATGACTTTAAAAAAAATTGGACGTGCAAGAGCATTTCTCCTTGTGCACGCCCTGTTTAACATGTGCTGTTCTCATACAAGATTACTGTTTATACATACGGCGAGGACTATGGAGTGGACTCTGACCGTTAACTGACCGTTCGGACAGATGATCACTGCTTTTTGCTCCGTTGGTCACATGACTGCTCCTCCACCACGCAGTGCCTGAGCCGTCTTTGTTATTAGCCGCTGTCACAGCAAATCCCAGAATGCTTTGCGAGGAGATCTCTCTGCGCAAAGCATTATGGGATATATCTGCCTCTTCTGAGGCCTTTCTTTTCTTCTCATTCGCTTCATAGACACTTTTTCTCTTACGACCATCGGCTATTTTCAAAGAACCGCGGTGAGAAAGGTGTCTGAAACCGTAGCTCACCACAGATACACGCCTGAAAGTGCGAAGGAAAAGATTTTTAAAAAAAGCTAACTTGACTAAGAACGTAGGACGGACTTATGTAAATATATCACCACAAAGATGTCCTCAATACCTTTAAAACGACACGTATTATAGAAAAACAAGATAACAGGCTTATTTCCTTTATATAAAGATAAATCGTCTTATTCACTTAGTAAATTGTGTCATTTACGACCTAGATTAAAAAAAAACAAACAAACACTTATTTCAAGAAAACTTTAGTTCTACACTGGAAAAAAAACAAAATCTAGATAAGTAATTTCTTCTTAAAATTAGTGCATTTGTTCTTGAATTGAGGAGATGCCAATGGAACAAGACAATTTAGATTTAAAATAAGAAAATACAATTGCATTGTCTTATTTTAAGTGCATATTATCTAATTATCTTATTTAAAGAGTAAAAATACTCATTCCATTGGCAAATCATCTTATTTATCTACTCAAATTGAGGGTAAATACNATTGCAAATTTGACCATAGTAATTATAATTATTGCTCATTCTGTCAAGGTTTTAATAAAAATGTCTTTAATGTGACTCAGATTGGGGAGTTGCAGCCTAGTGGTTAGGGCATAGAGCTTGGAATCCTGAGGTTCTGAGTTTGAGCCCCACTCCCACAGACTGCCACTCTGTATCTCTGAGCAAGCCCACTGCTCCCCGAGGGATGGGTTAAATTCAGTGGTAAATTTCTTCAATGTGAGATCAATAAAGTTCAATTATTATCATTATTATATTCAGTAAAAATAAAAGATGTGATGAACTAGCTTAGCTGAATTGTTAGATCTTTTATTTGTTTTACTGATCTGAAGAACGTCTGTGCTTCAGGGAGCTTAGCCGGTGCTCAGTGGAGGAGGGCATGCCGGTTGGAGGGATGCCCACCAGAGGGGGCTGTGGTATCACTACAAATAACAGAGCATTTACCCGGTGTGCGTCCAGGTTGGTGTTGAGGTTTCCATTCAGCAGCGGCTGGAGCGGCGGCGGCGCCACGACGCTCTGACTAAAGCGATCTCGCCTCTCCTGACTGTACTGCAGGGCCCAGTCCCAAACCGGTGGCAGAGGCGGGTCCAATGGATCCGAGGAAGAGTGCGGACTCAGCATATCCCTCCAACCGTTAACAGGCGTGTAGGATTGGCTGACGTTCTGGAGAGAGTTTAATAAAAACCAATCAGGAGGTTTGTTCTGATTCGGAGGTTGGCCAGTACAAACCAGTTCATCTCAGGTGCTTCTGTACCTGGGAACGTTTGCATCTCTCCCGCTGGCAGTTGGACAGGAAGGTGGAGAAGAGCGGCAGGTGGACGCTGTCATGGAGGGCCAGCAGGAAGTCGTCTGTTAGCTGGAAACGTGATGGAAACTGGAACCACAGGTGCCAGACGCAGTCCAGGAAGAGCAGGAAGACTGGAGACTGGAGGAGAGAGGAGGGATGAGTGGAAACATCCACACTGCAAAACCTGGGCTAAAAATAAGTAAACATTTTCTAAAATGAGTCAATTTAACCTGAATTTCTGAGTATTTTTCAGAATCAGAAATACTTTAATAATTCTGAAAAATACTCTTAAAGGTATTGTGAAGGACTTTTTAAAAGACCTTTCCTCCCCACTTTAAAGTCGTAGGGAAGCAGCTGTTCCAACTGCTGCATTTCCCAATTCTCCCGAGTGACTAAAGTGAATGCGATTGGTTGATTATCATATTATCGATTGTTGTGGCGGAAGGTTCTTCTTTTTATACTTTTGGGACAATATGGTCTGATAAAGAGCATTTATATACCTGTTTAAGCCAATATGATTTGAAATTTAAAGGTATAGTATGCAACCCGTGTTGATTTTCCAGCGAGGCTCCCCCTAGAGGGCGAAACTAAA